TTTTCTGGGAAGTGAAATGTCCTTGAGAAAGAGAATGAATAGTTTGGCTGGTGTGACTATAAAGGTGTGAGGTCATGTCAGAAATCCTTATTCCAGACAGAAGCCATGGTGAACTAACAACTGTGTTGACAGAAAATTATTGGCAGCCATCAATCCCGAAATTCCAAACAAGAGTTAGATTAATGACAACTATATCTGAATTGCCCTGGGTCTCAATCTAAAGACCACAACGTGCTCATTGGAATTCAATCCAATAACAAAAGCTATTTATGGAGCATGTTCATGGTGCCGGAAACTCTGCTAAGAACTTCACATGAATCAGAACGTCCACTGAAACCACTGATGCTTAGAACATGACTTATGCCAAATGACACAGGTTGTAAAAGACAAAGCTGGATTTGCACCCAGGTATCATATCCAGAGCCCCTGCCTGTACAGTACATCTTTCCTAAAATGTAGGCTTGTAGGAAGTGCCCCCGAGACAAGATGGCATTTTAGTAGTTATATCACTTCTCACCTGGATTTCCAAAGCAATGCCAACCTAGATATGTTTAACTAAGTGTGGGAGTCCTTACCCACCAAAGTACAGAGCCCTACACATACTCACCCACCCTTCCCTTCTGTTTCCCTCCTTCTGCATGTCACTTATCCACTCGACATAGGGCTAGTTTCTGGGAGGAGGTCGTCTCTTTGGTGTGCATTTCAGCAGGAAAACCAGCCATCATGGTCCTATGGGCTCCCAGCTGATCAGCGGGGCTCTGCAGCAAGCTCTACACACTGAGCACATGTGACAAGCACCTGCCAAGCGGAAGCCCATTGAATGCTGCACAAAAGCTAGAGTGAGGCTGAGACTGGGCATTATTATCCATAACAATAGTCAATACTGATGACTTTACATTTTAAATGGTCCAAGGTTTGCTTTAATTTTTTAAAATTGTTATTATTGATTTCAGAGAGGATGGGACAGGGAGAGAGAGACAGAAACATCAATGATGAGAGAGAATCATTAATTGGCTGCCTCTTGCACAACCCACACTGGGATTAAGCCTACAACCTGGGCATGTACCCTGACTGAGAATGGAATAGTGAACTCCTGGTTCATAGGTCAATGCTCCACCACTGAGCCACACCAGCTGGGCCAAGGTTTGCTTTTAGTGGATTAACTAATTTAATTTTTACCACAAGCCAGTGATGATAGTATTGTGCCCATTTTACAGATGAGAAAGCGGAAACTCTGTTTACCAAACCTAACACAGATTAAAACCCAAGAATATTCACATCAAACACTGGTACCCTTTTGACTTTGCTGTGTGGCCTCTCTAAGGCCATGGGAGTTCTCCCAGCAAAGAAATATTCCCTGCAAAGAAATATTCCCTGAATAAACTGGGAACTACACGTTTCCTGTTGATGAAGAACATGGCCAATGTGGACCTGGACACGACCTCAGTGTCCTGAAGGGGTTACTAGCTAGCACCTTTACCCGAAGGGTATTTGTGATCGTCATGAGGACAGAGAAGGGGGAGGGGCACAATTCTGTCATATGCCTGAAAGGGGAACAGAGGAGCATCAGTACTTGCTTGAAGTTCACAGTGAGCAATCAAGCTAAGAGAGGTTGTTTCTGTACAAGACAGGGAAGGAAAACCACACGGGATGCCGGAAAGTAAGTGTGTCAAGTCTGCCTGCAGAGGGCTGGGGAAGCCACTCCTCTGTTCGCCTTGCCTACTGTCCTATCAGACACAGTCATTATTTGCAACTTATGTTCCTGGAAATGTGGGGATTGACAAATCCATTTCTTTCCCATTAGCTATGGGAGGATGGGGACAGGAAAGGGAAGATGCTCTGACTTTGACTTTGAAGTCAGTGGACCGGATGTCCAATGACTCATCAGCTGGAACCCTGTGGACCAACTTTCCATTTTCAGAAAAGATGCTTTTCGACTCTAACAGTCTTTCATCACTAATCTGTTGACAAAGAAGAAGACACTTACCTCTCCTACCCCCAGGAGAAACCTATCTCCCTGGAACTGCTAGAGAACAACTTCCTGATGTCCCACGAGGCAGGGGCTGGAAAGGTGCTTTAGAGACACATAACCCAATATCGGACAGATCCAGGAACCCTGTCCATTAGGCGCTCTCCACACCAGCCAATTCCAGTAGTCTCTGTCCCTCCCCATCATGTCCCACTTGGGGAAGGAGTCTTATCCCATGAGGAAAGTAGGGGGTGGGGGGTTGCAACACAACCAATACAGAGGCACAATGCACCTCCTGAATGCACTTATTACCTGATTTTTTTTCATTGCTCCCCTGCCCTGCTTCAAGTAGATCAGACCATATCCTAGAGCTTATTTGAAAATGCCAACACAGCGTTCAATTCAATTGTTGATTCAATTCTTCCCGTTAAAAAGGTCCAGAGATCTAGATTGTTTTGCCAATGCTCTGTGTGTTGACATAAACTTTCCCCCAAATGTCAATTCGTTCATTCAATTATTCATTCAGCAAATATTTATTGAGCACCTATTACGTGTGAGTTCCTGTATTCATCTGAGAATCCAGCAATAAATAACATAAAAGTCCTGCCCAGGCGGCGATAACATTCTAATAGAGGATGACAGGGAACAAATATATAAGCAAACACACATTATGGGGTTCACACAGCTTAGAGATAGGATATCTTAGAGGCAGAGGGACCCTCTACACACAGAGAGATGGGGAAGGAGAAGAAGCAGTTTTTCCTAAGAAGGGGTAAAAAAATTTCATTTGGAATATTTCTTGGTACCCAGAATGGAAGTAATTTGGGGATTTTTTTACATGTACAAGTGAAGACTGTATATGTAAATGTAATAGTGAAGAATTATATTCTCCCTCAGAAATGCAAAGCTCATGGCTCCCTGGAAGGACTCATGGAGGAGCTATAGTCTGCAGCCCAGGCCAGCAGTGCCTTCCCAACCTGGCAAGGAGTGCCTGGATCACGAATGGGTTAAGGTGGCAGTGCTGGTGCTGGGAGCACTGCATAAACAGCGCATGTGGGGCGGGCGTTCTAAGTCTGCTTCATCTTCCCTTCTCCGGGTCCCGGCTGTCAATCAGCTGTCATTCGCCCGCACATCAGCAGTGTGTGCACATCACCAGGCTGTCAGCAAAGCAGCTGATGAGACTTGGCTCCAAGCTGTCAGTCATCTTTGTTTCTCTTCTCTGCTTGGGAAATATTTTGGCTCCGAGAAACAAAGAAACCTGGGCAACAATGGCTCAGAGTCAGGCATTCCTCCTGCCCATGGATGCAAGATCGTAAAGAGGCACTGATCATGCCTCACTCCCAAATAATATCGGGGTGAGGGGTGGACAGAGGGAAGACGGGGGACCTGTTTTATGAGTACAGGCTTTAAAACTGTAATTCTAGTTCCCAGAGCAGACCCTGATGGATTCCAAACAAACCAAAAAAGCATAGGAATAGGAACATAAAACAATGATAACTTGAAAGTATCTAAGCTTATGCCCTAAAAAAGAAGAAGAGGAGGGAGAAGAAAGAGAAAGAGGAGGAGGGGAAGAGGCTCACAAGATAGATGACTGCTCAGTTGGAAATTATTCACCATTGATCAGCAGGCTTTTAGGGAGAGAGTAATTGTTGGGTTGCGGAGTTCATTTATCTCCTAGGGATTTCGGAAACAGCGGCTTCTAAGCCCGACTCTCATACGATCTCAGGCATGTGTTGGGGCCACCCTCACCCAGAAAAGCAAATTAACTCATCAGGACCCCATGAAGTGGCTTACCTGTGCCTGCAACAGGGTCGTTATGCTGAATAAAGACACTGAAACAGTCTGTTGTCTGACATACTAGCTGATGCCCTCACCCAAAGTATTTATTAGCAATATTCCACACCTTTAAAAGCCCAAAGTACACAGATCCAAAGAGATGCTCCTGACAGAGTTTCCATAGGATGACAAGTCTAAGTTGCTGAGCTTACCCCAGTCTCCCACTATAGCAAATCACCACGCATATATTAGCATAATTAATGACCGCATCATGCAACAGATCCAAACAGGACTGAATTGCCTAAAGTCACCAAAATTAAAGCACCACCACCAACTTGTTCCCAATAGCTTTAGAATACAGTTAGCAGCCATCAGATCTTTCAATCGTTTTTAGCAAGAGCCTGAGTACCTCTAAATTGCCCAATGCTCTGGGTTACCTCCTTCAAACATCCTGCGGCTGGTTCCAGCATCGTCTCCATGTTTGTGACACGTGGGGCATCTTACCCTCTGACAGACCCTTCCCTATGTGCAGCTCCGGTTTCTGGAAGCACATCTCCCCTGATGTAAGTGGACATTAATTGCCTGGGAGCTGAAGTATCTGTGCCTCCCAGTCTCACAGCGGCACCAGCGCCTCTGATCTCTGACAAGGTGGCTGAGCCTAATCAGGACAGATCAGCTGCTGCCCAAGGTGCCGTGGGCTGTCATTTGAGGATCCTTACGGAGTTATCACTCACAGGAAAGAGAGAGAACTCTCATTTTGTCACCACCAGTCCCCAGCTGAATGGTCAAAGCCACTGGGGTGTCCCCCACCACACCCGGAAAAGGTAGCACTTGGCTAACAAACACCTGAGGTCATGGGTAGGAGGGAATGAGAAGGATGTTGCTGATAAAGTAACTAGGAGCAATTTTTAAACCTTCAGAAGCAGCACCCTGGGAGTGAAGTGTAAGCTGTCAAGTATAAAAGGAGGGTCCCAGAGTGGAGACCAACAGGAAGTCTCTACAATTCAGCTCCCACTTATCACCGGGTGACTTGGTTGCTATTTGCCTGGCTCACTAAACAGCACGTGTCCAAACACACTAAGCCTCCACGGAGCCCCAGCTGCCACCTGGGACAAGGCCTTGATCAGAAGCGAGAATGTCAGGAGTGGAGGTATCACTGTCGGGCCGTGGGCACCGTGCTAGTCTCTGAAGACCCCTGCGGTTTTCTTAGAGGCGCAAAAAGAGGAAATATCAGAAAAACAAACTTCGCTCTTACTATATCTCTTCGGTCCGTCTTCCAGACAGAAGGAAAGGGTCAAGGTGGCATCATCTTCAAAAAACTCCGTGGCAAACGCGTCCCACCAGAGATTGTCGCTATCCTGCAAAGAGATGGATCGTTGATTTAGCAGGCAAGAGTGGGAAACCTCTCAGAGGGAAAAGAAATAGAAAACCCAGTCACTGCTAGCATATGTGTGTGGGTGTTCTAGAAAGTGGATGGGCGGGTGCAGGTCATTCTTCAAATGAATTGTCCCCAATGGGGACTGAATTCCGATTTAATAAACGAGTTCATCCAAACCGAGTGAAAATTAATTTTGGAGGACATCTTTGGGAAGATTCAATAAGTTTACTCCAGAGCACAATGAGATTTTCTTTTAACAACAAGGTCAGTATATCATGTAAAATACGTTCAACTTTTTCTCTCTTTCTTGTGGCTCTTGTACAAGTCCAGTTTTATAAACAGAAACCACATTATTACAACTAGGTTAAGGAGGGTACATGTTTAAAAACACAACTTATTCCAAAAGGGTAGGTGTGGCTTACAGCCCTACTCCGTGCAAATGTTCCTGTAAGCAGTGTTTCCCAAACTTTTGACATATGTGCACCCCTTCTGTAATTTTCGTAATGCTGAGTACCCCTCGTATTCATGAGAACGTAGAATTAGGCGCAGCTAAGCACTATGCAGTGCATATCCCCACCAAACTCCGGTGCAACTTGTACTTCCACCAAACTCTTCCCGTACCCCTGAGGGTACGCACTACACTTTGGGAAACACTGTGTGTAAGGAATCCAGGTGTGGCTGCTACATGGATATATGTAGATAGATCTGTTTCTATCTAGATCAGTGGTTCTCAACCTTCCTAAGGCCTCAATTTAATAGAGTTAGTTCAGCGTGTTGTGGTGACCCCCAACCATAACATTATTTTTGTTGCTACTTCATAACTGTGATTTTGCTACTGTTAATGAATCATAATGTAAATATCTTGTGTTTTTAGGTCTTGGGCTCTACAGCAGTGATTCTCAACCTATGGGTAGTGACCCACAGGTTGAGAACCGCTAGCAGGGTCGCCTAAGACCAAGGGAAAACACAGACATTTACATTACGATTCATTAACAGTAGCAAAATTACAGTTATGAAGTAGCAACAAAAATAATTTTATGGTTGGGGGTCACCACAACATGCAGAACTGTATTAAAGGGTCGTGGCATTAGAAAGGCTGAGAACCACTAATCTAGATGGTCAAAGCAATCATCACATGCATATGGACTATGTGGGAGGACTGTTTTATAGATAACCCCTAGCTTGTTAGTCAAGCAGTTATTAAAAGTGAAGCAGTTCAGCAGAATGCAAACCACCCTCATGAATCCCATCTGTTTGTCTTGGGATGAGTGCTTCCCTTGCTCATCCACTCCGAGTTTAGCCCAGCTTAAGGCAGTGAAAATCATCGCTCCTCTCCAAGGGAGGAGGGGGCCTTCTGTCCCAGGAATGAGAAAGGTTACACAGAGCGTCATGTTTAAAAGGGGGCCTTGTGCTCTGGACAGTGGCTCATTTACCCCTAAATTCTTAAGCACATTCTTTTCCCAGAAGATTGTTGGTGGGGGCCAGACCTCAGGCCCAAGATGGTTCGCAGCTGCCTGTCAGAGCGGGGAGGGGGAATGGAGAGAGGAGGCTGCTGCTCCCCAATCCATAGCCCCCTGCTGTGGCCCTGGCGGAGACACCCAAGACCTCAAGTCTGACCGTTAAGTTGTTCTGCTTATGACAACATTAGGTTGTTGTCACTGGCAGGCTTCGGGAACAAGTCTGCGGTCCTGGCAAGAATAATTAAGGGGCCCACTGAAGATGGATGCTGTCCTCTTTCCAAAAAAAAAAAAAAAAAAAAAAAAAAAAAAAAAAAAAAAAAAAGGCAGACAAATGAATTTATTTTCGGTCTCTTTTTTTCTGGCCTCTTCCCAATCACCACACCAAAAGCCAGCACTCTTCTTAGTAAAAAGACAGTAAATAGAAAACCACCCCAGGACAATTCGTGGGGCCAATACAAGCTATCCCTTTTTCTCATTTTGAAAACAAATACTAATTGAACACTTATTATGTGCAGGCGCTCAGGATACGGGGCTGGATGAGAGACTGGTCCCTACCCCAAAGGGCTCAAAACCCGCTAGTTGGAGACATCCAAAAGAGCACCTAATAGGGAGCCTCACTCCATACCAGAGACCTGGTACAAAGCCTGGGAGTCCTGGAGACTGTCAGAGCTTCTAGAAACCTCAGTGGGCTTAGAAGGGGAAGAGGCAGCTGCGGAAACAAACCCTATTTGGGAACCTGGATGCACTGGCGTATTTTATTTCACATTGCTACATAGATGGATAAAGAATAGATTAACATTTATTGAGTGCTTACCATATACTAAGCACCGCTCTAAGTACGTACTGTACATTTTCTCACTTGCTCTTCCCTACCTCCCTGCAGAAGCGGAAGCTTAGGTGGTCCATGTAAGCTGCCCAAGTACATTCAGCCACGAACTGGTGGCATTGAGATTGAAACTCGGACCCTCGATCATCTGAGACCAGCCCCGGCTCCTCTGCCTGACATTTCTCCAGCAGCCTTTGGGAAGGCAGGAGTCAGGGCTCAGCAGAAAGGAGGGAGAGCTGAAAGGGACTATTTTGTCTCAGGCTAGTTTTTCTTCCCAGCTCCTTGCTGTCTGCATTGCCCTGTGGCCAGGACTCATACCCAGGATGCCTGGCACTGCCCAGTACATCAGGTGGCCCAGCATCCTTGGTGGGCAGACCTCAGGCCTCGAAATCATCCCAGCTACAGGAACGTGGACCACTTATTCCACTCCCTAAGCCTGTTTCCTTGCTGGGAGGTGAGGCTGATACTAAGATGAACAACAGTCATAATTGCCTGGTAGAGTAGATGTAACAGAACAAAAACAACACTAACAAGAATACCTCAGGGTCAATGTGAGCATCCACTACATTAGTGGATGTGAAGTGCCCAGCAGGGATCTCAGCACACACTGATGATCAGTGACATTCCCCATTCTTGCTGTGTCCATCCCCTGCAATACTTCACTGTCATTGCTAAGGGGTGAGGCATTCCGCGCTCTAAAGAACAGCATCCAAAATGGACCCGATAAAACCATCTGTTCATCACCAAGCATGTTTCCCTCTCTATCACTCCACTGGGTGTAACCCATTTGCCTGGCAGCAATGCCTGTCTACCCCATAGTTAAAACTCAGAGCAGAAATTCAGAAATTTATCAGCGTTCTCCTGCCCTGCTGATGGTTCAAAGGCCCAAAGATGAGATCAGACACTCCACCATTTTCCTTAATTAAACTCTGCTTTCCAGAATTTCTGCCCAAAAAGATGGGGCCCTAAAGGTAGAAACCCAGGGAGGACCTAGGCTGACCTCAAGTTGCTGGGGTGGAGCACATATGGGAGGCAACAGATCCGATGATGTTTCTCTCTCACATCGATGTCTCTCTCACTTTCTCATTAAAAACAAACATGTCCTCAGATGAGGATTAAAGAAAAGAAAAAAATTACTAAATGTCAAGCACAGGCCAGTCTTTTTTTAAATTTTTTTATTTTTAATTGATTTCAGAGGAAGGGAGAGGGGGAGAGAGAAACATCAATGATGAGAAAATTATTGATCCACTGCCTCCTGCACATGTCCTACTTGGGATCTAGCCCATAAGCCAGGCATTTGTCCTTGACCAGAATTTAACCCAGTGCTCTAGACCCACTGAGCCAAATTGGCTAGGTCAAGGCCAGTCTTATATCAGCCTCACGTGAGAGAAGAAAATTATGGAAAAAACATACACATGAGGGTCCCTGGGCTAATACTAGTACCCGCTACCTGATATTTTCTAAGAGCTTCACATTCATTGAACATCTTGCATTCACAACTTCCATAATTGCTACCCTGGGGTAAAGCAGTGGCCTTAGAGAGAATGTATATCCTTAACCTCTGTGTTATACTGACTTCAACATCGGAACTCTGCCTCTTACTGGCTGGATGACCTTAGTCAAGTCCTTTAACTTCTTTGCATCTACTAGCGTATTTGTAGAGTGGTAATAATATGTCAGGGGAGTGTGAAGATGAAGGATTGACTGCCCAGCACATAGTAGCTGCTCAATTAATGGCAGCTATAATTATTCATTATTGTCTCATTTGACCATTAAAATATTTATAGAAAAATCTGGATTTAAAAAAAAATTACACTATCAAGTAAAAAATCAAATAACTAACTTGAAAGTGGTAAAGCTACTTGCAAGTCTACCTAACTCTAGTTCATTTTTAAATTGATTTTATTTTCCTTAGAGCAGTTTTAGGTTCACACAAAACTGAAAGGACAGAGATTTCCCATATGCCCCTGACCCCCACACATGGGTAGCCTCCCCCATTAACAATATCCCTCATCCAAGTAGTATCTTTATTACAATTAATAAACCTACCAGCCCATGTGTATTTTTTCCAAATAATTCTTAAAATGTGATTTTCTAGTTTAGATTGAAGACAAAAATGGTTCCACAGAATAGAAGGCATGCCATTTCCTAGAGGACACTCTAAGCCAAAAGATCTCTGGTTGTCCAAGATTTTGCACACGTTCCCCCACTTTCATGTGGTTTTCCTAATAAGAAACTTCCTCCTCGAACACATCTTGCTTCCAGCTAGCTGCCTGGTAGAGTTGCTGGGATCATATAGGCAACTTGGTGAAAGAAATCTGTGCAGTAACAAGGCTTGGGTTCTAGGCAGTGGCTGCTATGCAGCTACAAGGCCTCTGCTGAACCAAATACAAAATCTCTGGCAGAAGACCAAGCAATTCTGACAAGCAGAAGTTCAGTTCTTAGCCACACAGGTACCTTAGGAGCTGTAGACAACACTAAAAAAAATATCAGGCCCAGCTGGCATGGCTTAGTAGTTGAGCATCGATCTATGAACTAGGAGATCATGGTTCAATTTCCGGTCAGGGCACATACCCAAGATGCAGGCTTGATCCCCAGTGTGGGGATGCAAGAAGTAGCTAATGAATGATTCTTTCTTACTGATGTTCTATCTCCCTCTCCATTCCTCTCTGAAATACATATATTTATATCCTG